CTTATCTTCCAAATCTACTCCGAGATCATCAAATCGAAGGGCATCGCTGAAGGGCATAAGCTCAGGTGGCTCCTGTTCCAATTGCTTCCACGGCTTCCAGGACACTTCAGTCACGACATTTTAGCGGACGCCAAGTCTCGGGCCATGCAGCTATCCCCGGAGGAACGGCAGGATCTCATGGCGGTTGTGTTTGAAAAACTGCGAAACATCTACGGCGATCAGTTCCACCTGTTCTATGTTTTAGACGAAGCTCAGCTGGTTTCACGAAGACACACCGATATGACGGTCCGATCCGGACAAAAATACCCAAAAATACCGATGTATACGTTCGGCATCGATGCGCATCGGTGCGCATCGATGGGCATCGATGCGCGTTGATGTGCATCGATGCACATTGATCTGCATCGATGCACATTGATCTGCATCGATGCGCATCGATGCGCATCAATAATTATCAATGTCATCGGCTATCAGGGGGCCCTCTGCATCGATGCCCACCGATGCGCATTGATGCGCACCGATGCGCATCAGTGCCCATCAATTACGGGCCCAGGGTGTTTTTGTGTGATCGACACATATTTTCCAGTCATGCGCAAGGGATTTGGTCCGTATGCCACACGGATAAGGCAATTTGCGGGAAAGGCAGGCACCAGTTCAGTGAAGGGGACAATGATATGAGCCTGGGTATGGCATACAGGGGGAGTAAATACTTCCCTTTGAGGACCACTAGTGATGCAGCAGCTGAGGGACAATGGAAGAGGTGCGATAAGTCGCTTTGACCGGAGACACGTGAGCAGTCCAAAAGCGGTATCATTACCAGGAAAAGATAAGTTCCTGTGTAAATATGGGGGGAAAAAGTACCAATATTCAGTCTGAAACTCTTGTAATTTATTCAAATCTTGTTGAATTTGCTCAGAACCGCTGGGCATCGATGCACATCCATTAGCATCGATGCGCACCGATGTGCATCGATGCGCACCGATGTGCATCGATGTGCATCGATGCGCATCGACCCCAACTTGTTTTACTTGCTTTTTGTCCAGATCGGACAGGTATAGTAAGCGTCCATTCGTAAACTAACTTGAAATATTCCAAGTCGACGTCCGAATCTGACTCACGGGCGCAAACATGTTAACCGTTAGCTGACATGCAACGCACCGATGCCTTTCACTCGCAGCGCACACTGCCTCCAGCGTCTTCCGTGCCGCTGATGTACCACGGTGACTCTCGGCCCTGGCAATCCTTCCTTCGTATGTCGACGCTCCAACTGCAGCCCTCGAACCGCAACGAGCCTTGTCCGAACCGTGCGCTGCTGACAACGTCGCGTCTCCAGGATCCCCCGCATGCCTGGCGTCAATCTCCTCATCCTCTTGTCGCGCAGCATGATGCAGGTTCTCGGGGTGACCTTCCTCAATGAATGACACGATCCAGTGCCTGAGCCGCGGTGTCTGGCACCTTCGCTCTACCTCCGAGCGTAGCTACGTCGACGAGGGGTCTAATGAGACGCAAAGTGGGGCATCCCGCCGCGTCCAAGGTGCCAGGGTCACCGAAGCCACCGGTACACCTCTTCCCTCCCCGCAGACGTCTTCACGGCTCCTAAACGAATGTTACAGTCGCCCCTGTGCTTTCCGTCGCATCTCCGACGCCTTCGGGTCAGCAGCAAGTCTCGCGTCTCTTTGCCTCTAGCTCGCCGCATGTCATTTCCAGTCCCTGCACCGTTTGCGCTTCAATCGGTCATGAGGTCGATTGACCTCCGGGGCCCTCCAGACGCCGCGGTCATTGACTACTTTGCCATGGAAGTCGACGCTGGCTTCGCCGTTGCCACACGTACGCCTGGTGGCCTAGCGTCTTCGCTACCGCTGACGCGCCCTTCCCTCCCCCCAGCCCTGCACCGCCGCATACCTCTTTCCGCGCCCCAAGTGCGCGTTGCCTCAGATCGCCTCTCCTCCGGGTCACCCCGGCCTTGGTGTCCAGCCCCAAAGGACACACATACGCATACGGCGTCTCCCACAGGCATGTCCCTCCCTCCGTTCCCTTCGTTCATGCATTGTTGTTAAGCCGGGCTCCATTTTGTTTGCAGAAGCAAGCAGCATGTAGAACTCGGACCGGACGTCTGACAGCAGTAAATGGGTCGCGGCGAAGAGCGCGCTGCCGCTGCCGGGCGCTGTGACCGGTATAGGTCGAGTGTCAGCGTTGTTGCGAGCGGTGCGCCAAGCTTCGATGCCTGATTTCACATTGCGTTTATCTCGACAGCAGATGCGGTGGAGGCGGGTACAGAGCGCGCGGGAGTCGGACGCTGAGCGAACAAAGTCTCGTCGGCAGTAGACGGTTCGACACGGCGCCTTCTCGTGCTCCCTCTGAGATGCCCACTCTTCTCAGGTGCTGTGGCCGAGGGTTACAATCCTGCCAGTAAGATGACCTCCTCGCCTGCGCGCCGCTTGCGGGCCAATGTCGTTTCTGTCAGATCCGGCTGGCGCTACTACGGGCAATGATAACGAGGCTGCGCCAGACTAGACAGCGTGCTCGCTCCACCTCAGCGTCCGCTGCTGGACTCTGCTGCGCTTGCTGTAACGATGGCGGACAGGAAGGCCCTGAACCTCATATCCTGCACACGGCCGACCGACTCTGTAGGTCATGTCTCGTGCCCTACCAGCCGCATCTCTCAATCATCAAGTCGAGCAGCTCCGAGATCTGCTGCATCGGGAAATTGGCGGAACAGGTCCTCGCGCAGTCAGCCTCACCGAAGCATGGCCAGCAGCCCAGAAGTAACACGACTATCGCTACCACCACCATGCCGACCCCCCGGAAGAAGAATGTTGGTGTTCTGATTATCCGAAGGACACGTTGCCACCAGCCGCGCGTTGCTCAACGGAGTATGAGAAGGATGCGGACGTGCGCGGGACGCTGAGCGAACAAAGACTTGTCGGCAGTAGACGGTTCGTCCCAGTGCCGTCTTGTGCTCCCTCTGAGATGCTCAATTTTCACAGGCGCTGCGGCCGAGGGCTCCGATGCTGCCAATATGACCTCCTCGCCTACGCGCCGCTTGCGGGCTAATGTGGTTTTTGCTAGATCCGACTGGCGCTACTGCAGGCAATGATAACGAGGTTGCGGTAGAGCAGACGGCGTGCTCGCAGGCGGCTCCTGTCAGGGGATTCGTTATCCTCATGAGGTCCACAACATCAGCGTCCGCTACTGCCCTTGCTGAACCGATGACGGACAATGAGGTGGTTTTCGACGAAGCGTGGCCAGCCGCCCGGAAGTAACACGACTATCGTTGCCACCGTTAAGCCGGCCCCTCATAAGAAGAACACTGGCGTGAAGAATTGGTACCGCGACAATCGCTCAGAAGTAATTATCGTGCCACTCAAAGGTCCGTTCCCCGCTGTTTCGTTACACCCTCATTACCTTTTCTGAAGCATCGACGCAGCGCAGGGCAACTCGCCTCTTGCTAAGCGCGCGCTGCCTCGTGCATCTCAGTGGCCGCATTCGCATCCGCATCAGCAGGACGCGCTAGTAAACCCTCCCGCTTCCATCACCACTTCGGCAGACGCCGCGTCGCCACCGGCCATGCAGCGCTCAATGTAGGATGAGAAGGATGTGGACTGCTGTCCGCGCCTGGCACCGGGTGAAGAAGGAGCTTGCGACGCCGCCTTAGAGGACTCTCCATCAGGTCACGAAGACGATGAACTCAGCAGCAAGACTCATTGCAGATGAACCACGATGGCCTGCCCCTGGGTGCTCGTATACAGACGATCACGATGCTGGGTCGTAGACGCAGGCGGGCAGCCATATGCATAATGGAGTGTTGCGTACGGGCAGCGCACATCGCCAAGAAACGCGCCCCACTTCTCATACTCGATACATCCCGACGGGCAGCGGCGCAAATCCGTGGCATTCTTCGGGATGCGCCTGAACTTCGGGAGGCGTTGGGACATCGAGGGGTCGGCCCTTTGCCTATTCGCTGACGGGAGGGCCGCACGATAGGCCAAGCTGGGGCTCCCGGGTGGACACATACGTATCGTGGCTGCTGAGCCTTCTTCCCGGTGGCGGACTGTCCAACATCCACCCTAATGGAAAGCCCTAGAGTTTCATCCAAAGCGCGTCCTCGCGATTGGACCTCCGACCCCCTCGCTGACCTGCGTCCGCAGCCAATGGTCGCCAGGATCTCGGCGTTGTGTCTGCATTCACTTGCGCCCTGCTCGCAGATGTCGCCAGGCGCTGCATCGAAGATACGACAGCTCTGCCTCAGCGCATCGCGGACCCGCCCACGAGCGCCGCCGAGGAACTACTCCGTCGCCGGGTGTACATCAGCTCCTGGACCACGCACTCTGGAAGGAATATTGCCATGAATGCACTCCGCTAGCGATGTTTTGGCCGCCGATAATGTCGTGGATTGTGACAATGACTCTGATCCCGCCCGTGACGCCCAACAAATGCGGCGACGATAGCCCGCGCTTGCCACGTTTTGTGGCCTCTAAGGCTCTACTGCTCTACTGAGCTAAAACCATAGATCGACTGTCGCCTGGATGCCGAAAGTGCTCAATTCGATTCAATTCAATTCACTCAATTTCCGTTAGAGCGCATGCGGGCCTTGGGGCTCATGTCGCGCGATACATAAGACAGTACGGTAAACTAGCGTTCGCGCGACGCGGAGGGAGAGGCGCGGTGGGGTCATATAGGTGTAGGTATTCGTAGATGTGCTGTAAGGGACTCGTGTTGTTGCGAATCACCCCCTTTGTCACGGTCGCTTAGACTATCACCACCCTGAGATGGGTGGTGGGCTCACGGACAGCTTGCTCATGCTAGGAGCGGTTCTTTCTCTGTACGTAGAATTCCGCCCAGGTCAAGACTGTCATCTGCCCGTGTGCGTTGAAGCCTCTAAAAATGCCTTATAGTAGTTTGCTCCAGCACAGCTCATAAAGCTTGCGAGAAGGAAAGGGGTGTTATGAGGACAACCGGTCCCTATCGCGTTGACAAAGAATCAACACACGATCCAAAAGTTCCGATACGGGGAGTCGAACCCCGGGCAAGTGCGAATCCTTGATACTAGAGACCTTGAAAGGCACCTATGTTACCGCTACACCATGTCGGATATATAGACGATGGCCGTTGTCTACCATCAGGTGCGGTTGTGAGTACCAAGCTCACAAGTAAAGTACTACAAATAGAAACCTGGCATACAACCCAGTCCAAGGCACGCGCAAAGCCACACAAGATGCAGCCGGGTATAATTCAGAGTAGATTACAGATTAGCGATAAATACAACGTGCACCGCACACCTCTAACCATAGCCAAAGACGGCACCAAGCATCTCCTTCCACCCTCGCTTGATCATCACGCCTGCACCGGCGCCGTACTCGAGCGCGAGCCACTCCAGGTACCGCGCATCCATCCCGCTCATGGGCCCAAGCTCAAACGCCGCCATATCCTTCGACGTCAAGCAGATCGTCTTCCCGGGGGCAGGGTTCTGGGGTAGGAAGGGCGCCAGGACCGAGAGCTGGAAGCCGGTGTGCGCATGCAGGGTTTGCAGAAGCGACAGGGTCGTGAGGATCTGCCCGTCCCGGCGCGCGGTGTCATACGGTTCCCCCTCACCTTCATCCTGGTCTTGTGCTTTCTGCGCCGCGGTCCCCTTGCCCTTCGTACTGGCAGAGACAGGCGCCGTCACGGTCGCCCTGCCGCTGGACCACGACACGCCGCTGGACCGGCGCGTAGCTTTACTCGTCGTTGGGCTGAGTCCACCCCCGCTCCCGCTCGGTCCGACCCTGGGCCCGCCCTCGATGCCCATCCCCACGCTGCGGACGTACCCACCCGGGCTCGTCGCCGCCTCGGCAGAGAGCGCGCGCAGTGTGAGGTCATCGTCGCCCTCCAGCCTAACGCTGCCCCAGTTCGCCGCTCCGTGCGCGGTTGAGTACGAGCTAGCAGAATTGCCTCGCCAGGAGCCCATCCAGAGCCCCGCGCAGATAACACACACGTCCTCGTACACACGCCACGCGTCCGTCCATGCCGTAATCGCGGACGCCGCTGTGCCCTTGAAGTTTGTGTCTCCGCCTGGGGAGCAGCAGGCGTGGCCGTGCGCCGCGGACGCGTCGAGCTGCAGGATCCGGTTGAGCTCGTTCCACTGTGTACGTGATGAAAACAGATAGGCATGGCACGAGCGGGCTACGTACCAGCTTGATGTCGCTCCATGCAAATCGGACGACTGACAGACGGTGCGTCGGCCCCCGGGCGGGAGAGGTGGGCTGCACCGGTCGCGACGAGTAGAATGTCGGCCGTGTAGCCTTATTAGGCGTGGATGTCGTCAAATCTATCAGTAAGTCGTAGCAAGACGGCTTCTCCAAGAAAATGGCATCGGTCGTACCTGGAAGTGGTGTCAGAACTGAAAGCATATGGCTGAGGAAAACCCACATGCGACCCAGCCTCGACCGGTGGTTCCCTCCTGATGTAGTCTGTCCAAGTCATTGAGGGTCACCATCCCAAGGACGCTGATGCCATCCTTGCATTTGCCGTGCAAGCGTGAAGAAGGGGACCCGGGGGATGTATCATATTCTACTTGGTGCTCGTAGGCCATATCCGCTGCCACTTGGCAGAGGATGGATGCAGCCTCGACTGGAGGTAGCGTGTAGATAAGGATCCGCCGCCGCCCAACGACATGCTTGTAGAGGGTCAATGAGGAGGGGCCGAGGATCCTTAGGAGATGAGGGAGGTGCACTGTCGGGTTCTGCTCCGTGAAATCGTCGTCGAGCTAGTGACTGTCAGAACATGCGCAAGCGGAGGAGAGGCAGCGCACCCGTTCTAGAAGCTCGTGGCTCCACCCATTCCAGTCTCCCGCCCCTCCAAGGTCGGCCCGAACGACCCTTCGCTCATTGAAGAACGCGCGCGCCGGCTCCCAGTCGCTTTCGACCGGTACGAGGGATGCGGAGCTCTCGAATTGAGAGTAGATCAGCGTAGTAAGCTCCTTGAGCGCGGCGGTGTGTTTCCAGGGCCGAGGGCGGGCAGACTTGGCCAAAAGGATGCCTAGGGACGAGAGGCGGAACCCTCTGTGCCCCTTATCGACGGTCTTCCGGCGCCGGAATACACAGACACCCCGCTGCCCGTCTTTCATAAAATACCTAAGGAAAGTCAGCATGAAGGGCCAGGATATACACAGTAGCTGGCACAGGAAAGACGCGCGCGATATCAGCTTCCGCAGCGCCGCGGACCCGCTTCTCCAGGTCAAGCACTGACACCCAAGACCAGTGAGACATGCAAAATCTGGCGCAAGGGTCCTGCACCGAGGCTGTAGATGCGACGAAATGTCGGCCGGAGGGAAGAAGCAGATAATAAACGCACACTACATCCTCCTCGACAAGATGGAGTCCACTCGGAAGGGCGCTGAACTCCAAATTATCGAGATTCAAGTCTGATATTTTGCGGTCAGAAAGCGAGTTGTGTCAGCCCCCACTACAGTACTCACCATCGTTTGCTTTCAATGACCAGTCAATGATGTTCCCTTGCGTGGGATGAAACGAGGCATGGAAGATTGCAACTGCGCGTGGATCGATGAGATAATTGGGGACAGAGAAAGCATTTATCCAACCTATGTCTTGTGGGGGCCGTCCCTTGGAATCCAGGGAGGACATGAGTCGTGGTGGTTGGAGGAAGCACTCCAGATAGCCGAGTCACGCCGCACTGACGTGACCCTTCCTTGACCCGCCGTGTACTATAGTACTAGTAGCCCCATGTCGCAGCCTCAGCAAGTTAGCGTCACCGACTTAGATGTCTCCCAGCTCGCAGATGTTCGCCGGCAGCTTGAAGAGGTGCCTTCCGTACACTTGTTTGCGCAAAAGACCTACCTGATCGCGGCGTCCCAGGAGCTGAATCATCTCACAAACTCCTTTGCGCAGCTCAAGCAAGCTCAGTCGAAATTCAAGGCGTGCATAGAGAATGTTGCTGAGATAAAACCCGCGAATAAAGGTAGCTCTGTGGCATCGCAGCCTCCGCCGGACTCACGCGATGTCCGTCCAGGCAAAACTATCCTCGTGCCTTTAACAAACTCGTTGTATGTCCCCGGGAAATTGTCCGACCCAGATCATGTCATCGTCGACGTCGGGACCGGCTATTTTGTGCAAAAGGTACGTGACGGCCGCCTTAGACTCTCGCTCTTCGCCTGTTTATTCAGGTGTCCCAGACGCGCGAGCAGGCACAGAAGCATTATTCTGCGAAAGTAGCATACATCCAGACCAATCTGGAGACACTCGAAGAGACGATAGGAAAAAAGCGGGAGAACATGGGCTATCTAGTCAATGTAATGCAGTCCAAGCTGCAGCAACAGCCTGCTTCGTGAGCCGAATCCATGTCCAGATCATATCTCAGAGTCATTGTGCTGCAGTCACAATTTTATGGACTTCGCGCCTATGAATTCGCTTTGACTTGGCCCTTGCGGAAGGACAGCGACTTCTTTGGTGTTCCAAGTGTTCTCACCCTCTTTCCGGTGCTCATCTCGACTCGGGATCGATCTCAGACTCTACAGCCCGGGGCCGCCCCTGTCGCTTCGTGCCTCGTCGGTCACCGTAGCGGTCCGCGGAAACAGTCGCGTCCATCATCTGACAACTCAACGTGTCCCTGGAAAGGCTCATCCAAGGTGATTCCCGGTGACGTGTTCGAAAGCGACCTGCTCTTGAAAGACGCGTCTAAACGAAGGACTGTCAAAACTTTGCACGTCCAGGTGCCCGAAGGTGCATGAGGTGCGTTTAAGAGGTTGAGCGCATGTTTATGCTCCCTAGCGAGACGGAGGTAATGGAATGGATAAGGGGAACGGATGATCGACTGAAGCCTCAGCAGTGAACTGACTTCGACTGAGGGATGTAACGAAATGGCATCATGAGGAACACCGTCAGCTGCAGAGGTACAAGTGACAGGTTCAATTCTAGTTTCAGTGTTAATGGCCGAGTTGCTGCGCACGGTGGCATCTAGACATATTAGCATCATATGCATATTATACTTACTAATGCCCAGAACACGGCATACAGCCCTCTGTCAGACCGGGGTCAGATATCGAAAAAAAATCATCCCATAATATCCATGCAACCTATGAAGGTAGTACTAATATGTAAATATCAAACCAACAACTGACTCAGACTGGTGGCTTGAGCAATAAATTACAGTGTTTAAGGACTTGTGTTTTACAAGGAAAAATGTTGCATGTGTTCCTGCAATACTCAGGCTTGAGTATTTCTAGTCACCATGATAGGTAGGCAGGTATAGGCATATTCCGGCACGGTCTCGTTAAGAAACAGCCGGTGCCTGGACTACATACACAGCGTCAAATGCATGCTAATAGTAGTTTACAGTTTCAGTGTCAAAGCAGGGCTACATACAAAAACCAACTATGTCCCGAAGATCCAGTTGTGATCACATTGGTGACAATGATCTAGATGCCTTCCTTTTACCATAAGACTTGGACAGTCGAGTTTCTTCATCTCGAAGTTCACCAGACTCCGGAATAAAGAATGGTGAGCTGGATGCTGAATCTTCACTAGGAGGAGGAGAACTGGCATAGGTGCTAACTGAAGCCTCTTGCAAGGTAACTCCTGATCCCTGGCTCATGATTCTGTGAGGGAGTGGTATAGGTTGTATCCCCAAGACTTTGGCAGGTGACATCCATTCCTTTCTCAGTTTCTTGCTGAGAGGCTGACCATCGGGGGCACGATGAGCAGAATGTTTCCCTTGATTAGATGAAAAGAAATCGCTGGCAGTTGCCGTGATAAGATCCCTTGTCCTTGGATGTAATCTGTTCATAGTCTCTTCCCAATGCTCTATATTGATCTCAGCAACGGGGTGCATTTCCTCATCCATATAGATACCAGTTTGGGAGGTAAGAAGACATCTCTCATGAACTGAAGAGTATCCAGGCCATGTAACAATGACACGGAGCACACTATGAAGCCCTGCACCTTCTGTTCCTAGATCTGAGGCAAGTCGTCCTGGCAGAGCATCCAAGGCATCCAACACTTTTGTTCTTAATTCATTCCAGTTGTTCTCCATTGTTTCCTGTGCCTTTGCTGTTGTCTTTGCTTTTTTTTTTTCTGTGTCTGGCATCAGCATGACATTATG